TATGAACTCAGATCTGAACCCTGCCCTATCCTGTGCCCTCATCATGGTCTCTACCACACTAGCCATTTGTTTCAGTCACCGTGCCAATTTATCTTGTTGAAGATCTTCCTTCCTTCACTGACCCTCCAGTTTTCTAAGCATGGTATCCTCTTTCTCCAAGGACATGCCCAAAGAACGTGAGATAAAGTTTCACCATCTTTGCCTCTAGAAGCATCCTGGCTGCACTCTCTCTAAGGCATATTTGTTCCTTCTTTCAGCAGTCCTTGAGATAGTCAATGTTCTTCTCCATCACCACATCTCAAAGGTACCAATTCTTCTTTCATCTTTATTCACTGCCCAACTTTCATGACAGGATCTATGAAAGCGTGAAAGCCCTTGGGAAGCTCTAGCTTTTTTTTGTAGAACCATATCAAAATAAAGATTATTCTGAGACTGGGATGAACCGGGCTGACGAACTACATGGAGCCAGCCATAGGTTTTAGTTTTTTGGTGGTTTATTTTTAATTACTTTTGATGAAAGTTTACAGAGACTTAGGATTTCCAGTCATTCAGTGTTACACTTTTCCCCCTGCCCACCCCTCCCCCCAAATCACTCTTCTCCTTGAAAAAAAAGAAAAACTCTTTCACTGTTATGCAATCCCTCCCCCCAAGTCCACTCCACTATGCAGCCTTCATTCTGGACTTCTGTAATGACAAGAATACCCATTCATATATCACTTTTAAACAGATCTCTGCATCTGTTTCAGTGCAATATACATCATTCCTCCCCTCCTTTTCTGTCTTCCCTCAACCCTGATGTTAGTCCCATTTTACAACAGTCAACCATGGTTTTTCACCAAGCTCTGTCTGTCAGCTTTGGGAAATAAGGGTGAGCAGATACATGCAGACTTACCAGAAATTACTGATAAATTTCAATAGGTTATTTTTTACCTGAAGATAGAAGAAATTTAAAAAAAATAAGAGATATTTGTGACAAAAGGATGAGCAAATTACAAGTGTGTTACAGTAAAACAATATTCAGACATACATACTAAGTGCTCCAAACAAGGAGAACAGATATTAAAAAGAAAAATCCACGTATCTTCTGTTCAGAACTTGCAAAAGCAATTTCCTGTGCTCCCCTTTGTTTCCTCTGCTCCACTTTGTTTCCTCTGCCCCACTTTGTTTCCTCTGCCCCACTTTGTTTCCTCTGCTCCACTTTGTTTCCTCTGCCCCATTTTGTTTCCTCTGCTCCACTTTGTTTCCTCTGCTCCACTTTGTTTCCTCTGCTCCATTTTGTTTCCTCTGCTCAAAGATATTTATACTGCTGATGCTGATTAGCTCATAGCTGGATTTTCAGAGGCTGTAAATGTCATGAAAGTAGAATGTCCATATTTCTCTCATAGGGCAACTGATAGATTTGAACTGCCTGCCTCCAAGTCGAAAAAGGAACAGAGATATAAAAGTGATACTCTGACTCAGTGGTCCTAGTTCCTCCACACAGTAGAAAAATCTGAACAGCATTTTTCAGAACACTGGCACACCAACCTTAGTCCAACAGTCTGATTTTCTTCCTCACAGAAACTAGGGATTCTTTTTTAAGGCTTCTCCCCTTCTCTAAATCCAACCCTTTACCCTCCTAAGAATACTTGGTTACAGCAAAGGTTAGCTTATTTCTGAACTGTTAAATCAAATATAGAATTTGTGAAAGCACCATACTTTGTTGAATATAGAGTTTATTGTTTGAGCACAGAAGTTGGAAAGGCTTATTATAAGCAACTCCCCCTACGATATATTGGAATGTGAGTAATGTTCTTGTTCTTTGCCATTGTATTTCTAGAATTTTTCCTAGATTTCTGCTTTCCCAACTAGAATTTTACCATCTTAAACTTCCTTCAGGAAATGAGAATCCATGTGACTTTCTCTTCTCTATAATTCTCATCTTCATCTTATGTAGTATATATCTTATATCTTATATCTTATATCTTATATCTTATATCTTATATCTTATATCTTATATCTTATATCTTATATCTTATATCTTAT